TGAAGAAACCCGAGAGTAATCCCCTTAACTATCACTCTGGTGTCTCGGTGAACCTAGGCGGTGGATGTGTGATATCGTGAGGATATTTCTTCCACCGACTCTCCCGGGTGATGTTTTTTTTTTTTTTTTGCTCATACTCATATATTCCAGGAGCCAATCGAAGCGATGATGAAAGCGCTGAGGAGAGAATGAGGACACTTATTTAACATCAAAGTGAGTTCGATATCTACTCAAGTTTTTTTTCTTCTTTTTTTTATTAATGATGGTTATCACGAGTGTTACTCTCGCTGATGAACATACTTGTTGAAAAGTGTTCTCTCTTCTCCAGCTTCCTTCCAGTTGGTCTCTCTGTCTCTCCACATTTACACCTTCGCGCTAAAAGCATCTTCGCAAGGCGAAAGCCAAAAGTCCATCACGTGGACCCCTAGAGCCAGACCACTCTTCTTACTTATTCTTTTCGTTGCCGATCGGGCATGTTGATTCCGATCACAAGCTGTATCTTCGCGTCATGTACTTTTACAAACTCATGTACTAATATAAAATCCCACATTCCCCAGAATAGTTATATCCACCTTAAGAAAAATGTACCACTGAATCACAATTTTATTACTCATCGTCTTGGAATTAGAAATCTCATTTTCTGGTGCCCGGCGTTTCTTCCTGGTCATTGTTCAACACAGGAGTTCATTTCAATTGAAAATTAAGAATCCCTTTGCTCCATGATACGTAGAATACATGATGTGGATTGATGAAGATGAGGGATGAACTGCAAATGTCTCATGTGCAATTGGAGATTCATCAACTGCATGATCATGAGTTTCGGTCAAAATGTGTCTTTAATACGTTCAATCCATGTTAAAGATGAGTCCATTCATACCAAGGTTCTCGGACAAAAAAAAATCTTTTCAAGGACTCCGGTAAAATAACGAACACTGACCACGGGACTCGAACCCGCAGCCTTCTCCTCTACACCTGACCGGAAGATTAGGAGGGAGACGATCTACCATTGATCTAAGCCAGCAATACCATATACGGGAAGTAAGATACTGTCAATATATAGCACGAAAAAAACAACACAGCTTGCATTGTAGTGACGAAATTACGATTTTGTCCACTGACGAAATACCGGGGATTTTACCGCAGCCGCGCACAAAATTTCGTCAGCACGACCAACCTTCAATTTTGTCAGCTGCGTGCGCGGTGGGCGTCGGTCTGAGTCGCATATGCATATTCAAAAAGAAGGACCGCAAGAACACTCTTGAGTCTCAGTCTCCTGAAGAATAACAGCATGGCAATCCACCACGCCAACTCGATCAATACCAACACCGATGATGGCCACCCCCAGAAACGCCCCAAAGTTGACGACGGAAGCACGAAACCGGAGCAGGAGGCACAGCTCAACTCGACAGCCTTCAGTTCGAGGAACCTCTTGAGCTCCTTGGCACCCTCACTCAAGCTTCAACACGACCAATCAATCCCTTATCGACATGCAGTCCTCAGAAACATGTTTGATGATAATCTCTTGCGAATCTCCCGTGATGAAATCAGGAATAACTTGTCCTTCACACTGAAGGAAACTGATATCTACAAGGTCAGATCGCTTCTGATTCCTGGTAATATCCTCAAAAACCTTAGCAAGCCTTGCCGACTTCTTTTCCGCACCGCAAACACTGTAACCTCCAAACATCTAACAGGTATTCCAAACAGGTGTGTGTTTGTGTGTTCTCATTATCGACCATCTCGTCGTATATCCCGGTCACAGATTGATCAGCATTTCTATCTGCTTCCACTACTGCCACAGGTGACTTGGCGAACTTGGACGGTCTACCAGGAAGGGAAGCAGAAAAATTGAAACACGTGAAACGCGTCAGAGATACCTTATATTCCAATGAATTCCGACAATTCCTCCATCAAGTCACTTCATGCGGACCTCTCTCCGGTAAACAAACGGATATGTCGATTAATAACTACCGTCAAGGCTGTCGTATGTTACTACCCTTCCACCCATATCTCCCATGTCGAAATATGCTCAATCTCATCGATGATTCAATCCAACAGACTTGCTGAATCATGACGACGTAATTAGTACCAGAAGAGTATCATACATCCTATATCTTACCGATCCCGATATTCCATGGCAAGCCGCAGATGGAGGATCCCTAGAGCTCTATCCGGTGGATTCAGAAACTAGACAACCACAGCCCATCCCAACAAGTAAAATTTTACCCAGTTGGAATCATTTCGTATTCTTCGTCGTCCAGCCCGGGAAAAGTTTTCATGCGGTGGAAGAAGTTTTCAACTTGAATAAGAGTAGATTAAGTATTTCTGGTTGGTTTCATTTGCCCCATCAAGACGAACCCGGATACTTGGACGGATTCAAGATCAAGGAAGAAGGGGAAAAGAAACTCAAAAGCTTAGGCGCGAGCTTAGATCAATTGGTAAGCGTCCGATCCGTGAATAGTTGCACTTGTGAGATGAAAAGCCGATTTTTTGAAATCACGCTCATTTAAATTGAAGAAAGGGAAGTCCAGCGACAACTCACTTTGGGTTGATATCGAATTGCAGTCTGCTGTTCAGTCATGCTCTTCGTTGACAGCTAGTGATCTCGACTATCTCGGTCAATTCATCGACCGCAGCTTCCTACAGCTCGCAGATGTCAGTAAACTGAAGGCCCGGTTCGTCAGGGACTCGCACCTGAGTCTGATGGGATTCCTGAGCTACGAGTTTTCGAGCCAAGTCAAGCAAGCCATTCTTGTGAACGAGGCGGAAGATCTCTTGGCCCTGACCAAGAATCCACCCGAATCTTCACTGTATCCCATCCAGTTTCACGGCCCTAAGTTTGAGCTCGGACTGCAGGACGACTCCTGGGAGCTTGTGGGCCCGCCTCACAAGCATCGCTACCTCACCCCATCGAACAAAATTAGCGCGACTAGCAACAATCCGGCGAAACAGGGTCTCTTAGACTTGAAGGCCCTTTTCCAAAGCAGCCCCTTCCTCAAATGGCTCCAGCTCATCACGACCTGCATTGCCACCTCTCATCATGTCACCCCTCGTCGCTTCCGACCGGGCTTAGATTACACCCTTGCCACCTCGAATGAGCAACCCCTGCTGGAGCTGCTCCTGTCTTTGACGCCTTCCTTGGGGTGGGAAGACGGTGAGGTGGGAGGATGGGATTGCTACATGGCCTCCAGCGACGAAGATCAATCGGACCCCGCTGTTTATAAGGCCGCTAGTTCATCCGCAGCCGCTCAGGATGAGGATGACTCCACTCTCCTCACTATCCATCCCGCTTGGAACAAATTGGACCTCGTCTTGAGGGACCCCCAGGTCCTCACTTTTACCAAGTATGTTAGCTACAAGTCTCCTCAGAGCAAATGGGATATCAAGGCTGCATACAAATTTAAATAGTCAAAGAGTACTCTTGCCTCCATTTCATCTCTTGTGGGTTGTTTGTGGGTGTGTGCATCTCCCAAATCGTTTCAATATACGTATTTATTCAACTCAACATTTGCAACAAGTTTATAAAAAAAAATCCAGCAGTGAGGGTGATGGAATGTGAAGTAACGAGTTTTTTTGCCTGTTTCTCTCAAGATCATGAGCATCAGTATTTTTTTTTCCAATGCCGCTCGTCGCGTCGCGTCAGGTACGTACGGTCTTATCAGAAGGAGTCGTGAGGTTAACAGGCAAGCCTGGTTCAATGTGTCACCCATGGTATATTTTGATGGTGACGAGCATTGGGTGTGCCATGGGTAGAGTGAGGGAGGGCTTGTACATGGGGGTCTGGTAGGGCGAGGATTCAGGGTCACCGACGACGGGAGTTTTCGGGACGTGTTGTAGCCTGTGGAGGATGGCGCGTAAGAAAGTGTGTCAGGTGAAATCACAGAATGTTTCCTGCCATCTGTCATCATCATCTTATGCTTACCATCCTGGCGCGAACTGCAACTCAAAGTTATGTAGCACTTCCACTATCAGCGAGACGCTCTGGAAGATTGCAAAGTTCATGCCCAAGCAAACCCTGGGTCCACCCTGGAGAATCATATTACATCAGATGATCGTCGCTCAAACAAGCTGATGAGGGGGTCGGGGTTTGAAAAAAAAAGTAGGGATGCTGACGTTGAAGGCGTGGAACTTGAACTGTCCAAATTGCTTAATGTTTCCATCCGAATCTATCCATCTGCTGGGCCGAAACTCGTGACAATCTTCTCCCCAAACATCAGGATCTCGTGCCATCGCCCAATCGCTGAAGATCAAGGGTTGTTCACACAAGTCATTCATGCTGTCAAAGGGGAGATATATTTTTTCCGGGCGATGGGTTTCAAGCTGTCTCGCATCAATCAACCAACTTACCTCCATCGAACCGCGTCACCAGCCTCGATCACCGGCCCGTCAGGAATCTTGTCTCCTTTGAGTGCAAATCTGACGTTCTATTCCCTCCGCAGAATGAAACAAAAAAAGGCCCTCTTCCTAGGTATGAGCATTCTGTTCTCATTTAGCAGGTGGAGGGATGTGACAAGGACGTACTTTGGGGATGCTTGGATGTAGCCTAAGAGCTTCTCGGATAACGGCATGGGCCCATTTGAACTCCTTGTTGTTCTCGTACGTCACCCGACCGGCCCTGTCTTTGCCAGTGATGGCGCTGGCTTCTTCCCTGATTTTCGCCACCAGATCCTGGTTCATGAGTAGATGATAGAAAGCCCAAGTGAGAGCTTCCGCAGTGCTGTCTCTATGTGAATTTGTTTGTTTTTTAAGAAAAAAAAGGATGGTAGTAAGCGGATGATTCAGAGATGCGAAAGGCTGCAGACTTACCGACCGGCAATGATGAGGTTTAAGAATGTTTCTTTTAGCTCCTCGTTCCCTAAATCACCACCAATCTGCCTGCGTGTTTTGAGGAAAGAGCTGAGGAGGTCGGTAGGAGTCTGGTTGTGTGCCTCTACATGCCTGTGGAGACTTGCCAATCGCTCGTCGATCAAGGAGGAGGTGTACTCGTCCAAAATTCTGCATGCCGACTTGATCTTCCTTCCTAAGCTGATGTCAACTGTCTCAACCAGTTTCCAAAGGGTGAGCAGGGCGAATCGACGGTTGAGATGTTTCTGAGCGAAATCGAATGCATCGACAAAGAGCGAATCGGGGGACGGCGAGGAAGATCGGAGGGGAGGAAGATGGAGTTGGTCGAGCTGACCCATGTCTTTCCCCAAGCTAACCAACGCGCCAACTTGTCAATCCCCACTCGAGATTATACAACTAAAAGAAGGGACGCAGGTGCTTGACTTACTCACATTGCGTACACCAGAAAATTCAGCGAGAACTTGAAAAGAACATCGCAAATATCCACGACTGGTCGACTTTCAGAGGCAAGCTCCATTCCCTCCAGTAATGCATCAAGGTTTACCCTGAGAGACGGGGATATACAATCCTGTTTTCTTCAAACCCGCCTGTCATGATGATGAGCACACGATCCAGAGAAGAAATGGAACATGAGGTAAGACGAAGATAGAGTCACTTGCCTTGAAATTTTTCACCGTGAAAAGAGGTGCTAAGACGTGCCGACTCCTTTTCCATTGAGGACCATCGGTGACAAAGATTCCGTCACCGAAGACATCGGCCATCACCGAGTGGAAACGAGAACCCTTTTAGGAGATTGGCGGATAAATAATCACGTCAGTCTCAAAGTGACACCTTGGAAGCCGATGTTCACGGCTGACCTTGACATAGTTCTGGAAATTGGCTGCATGATACGATTGATGGAGAAGCGCGTGAGTGCGAGTGGAAACAACAGCAGCCGGTGTCAAGCATGGACGCACTCTTTTGGATATGCTCGAGCCATTCAGGCTTGCTGACATCGATCAACCTCAGTCCGGGCATTGTGACACTCCATCCGGGACGGAACTTCAGGTGCCTCGCCATCCCCAATTCGAGAGGACGGGCAAAGTTCCAAACTATATCTGGTATCTAAAGTCGTCTTCCGAATCAGCATCTATTGTTTCGGTGGCCGGCACCACAGGCCAAGTTGTGATTCTTTTT